ACAAGACAAGAAGTTAATAGGGACAAATCATCTTTGTTCTTCAGTTTCAATGTGCCTATTGACGAACATAAGAGGATCATCTAGGCAATTGGTTTCGCGACATTAAATTGCCACTCTAGCTACCTTGGAGTTCCTACAGAGTGGGGAAGATCGAAGAAGGAAACTTTCAATTTCCTCCTACAGCGCATGAAAAGAAGAGGTGACGCATGGAAAAGCCTTCTCCAGGTGGGAAAGAGGTTTTAGTGAAAGCAGTCTTTCAAGCTATCCCCTCTTATATCATGTGCTTATTCCTCCTACCACGAACAACAACGAAGAGGATGGACACCATGCTTAAGAATTTCTTCTGGGGGGGGATCCATGTCTAAAATAACGATTCATTGGAGAGCTGGTCATGTTCTTTACGCTGCGAAGAAGGAGGGGGGTTTGGGCTCCGACCTTTTCACATTTTCAACCTGGCATTACTGGCAAAACAGGCATGGAGAGTTCTCACCAACACGGATGCCTTATGGGTCAAGGTACTTAAAAGTATCTGCTTCCCAAATTCTGATTTTCTGAACGCGAAGAAGGGGTAAGGCTTCTTGGATCTGGACTAGCCTATGTGAAGCAAAAAAATGGATGGGACAAGGAGTTATCAGGGTTATTGGCAATGGTAAATCAACCATAATGTTCCAGGATCCATGGAGATTTGACCACGCAGGGTCTCTTCTCCAGTTTGAGTGGCCTGACAGGTCAACAGCTGATAGCTGGATTGATGAGATCTCACGAGAATGGAGATTTGACCTCCTTGCTGACTTTCTTTGTCCCCAAGACTTGAGGCTGGTAGTGGCTACTCCAATCGGCCCTGACTCCCTTCAAGACTTCTAGGCATGGAGATTCACCGAGCAAGGATCTTTCACAGTAAAATCGACGTTTCATCACTCCACCACCGGTTCAGAGTCTCACAAGGCCATATGCGGTGGTGTCGGAGGAGTGTAAAGAAAGATGGAAGTGGCTTTGGAACCTCTCCATACCCCAAAACTGAAATTCTTGTTTGGAGAGTTTCTAAAGGAGCCCTGGCGTCAAAAGAGAATCTCCATGCGAGGAACTGTTCTCCGTCCAAGACATGTCCGCTTTGTGCAAGCCCTTTGGAATCAATTCACCACGGTCTCTTCATGTGCCCTCATGCAGCAGAGGGATGGAGACAAGAATGGCTTTCCCTGCCAGCTCCCCCTCCTTTTACGCCTTGCCTGGATTGGTTGGACTCTCTGAGACCTAGGTACTCGATTCTATCAATACAAAAGATCATCTTTCTAATGTGGCAGACATGGAAAGCGAGGAATGAATGAATTTTCAAGAATACACCTCTATTGCTTCCATCCACGATCACGAAGGCAATGAATGCACACCATCAATGGACCACCTGCCCCAGGAAGCATCCTACAGTTCCACCACCAACTCAGCTTAATCCACCCCCGGATCACTCTTCATCACCGCTAAGTACTCACGATTTTGAGATACACTGTGATGGATCGTTTTTTAACGATTCCCAGGAGGCGACATATGGCGTCGTTGTCTCGAACAACCATGGTCAAGTGTGTGATGGTAAAGCTGAGCCCCTGCATTGTTTTTCCCCTCTTGAAGCTGAAGCCAAGGCCTTGATGGAGGGCTCCCTCTTGGCTGTCAAGATTCGGTCGCCCTGCTTGGTCCGCTCGGACTGTCTTTCCTTGATCCATGCAGTTCACAGCCAGCCGAAAGCATGGCCATGGCGAGCGGCAGCATGGCTTGGTATCATCAGGAAGACGCTGGAGGCTTATCCAATGATCAAGATCAAGCACATTGGTCGAAAGAGTAACTCTAAAGCGAATTGGGTAGCTAGATCATGCACTAAGAATCAACTACCATCTAAATGGATACAGATTATTGATGTTGTAGTTCCCCTTTTGTAACTCTTGGCTTATGCTACAAGTAATGGAATTCAATGCCCTTTGTCAAAAAAAAAAATAAACCCTACCTAATCAATCAATAGGCCTGCCAATGCTGAGTTGGCTAGTGGCTGCTCACAGGCCTAATATTTCTTAGCTCCTCAGAAAGCCCTTGTATGGGCAGTATTGTTAGTTGCTAATTTTGCTGACCAGTTTGTTCATTTTGCAGGGCTTGACTCAATGGTCAAGTGGAGATCAATATTACTTGCCTTCACTTCTATTTGTGGCTCCGGTCTTTTCCTTTGTGAAAATTTGGTTGTTGTGCAGCATATAATGTGTTTCTTCATTTTGCAGGTGAAGCAAGTCGTAGAAGTTCAGATTCTAGTCATTAGATTTGTAGGATTTGCTGCATTGATCACTTGATAGCTACAGGAGTTTGGTCCATCACTTCCGCCCTAAAAAGGGTTGAAGCACATATATGGATTCTGGTCAATGCACAGGTATATTAGGGTTGCCCATATCGTGACAAAAAAGCTCTCTTTCGTTGGATCGTCTCACGTTTCTTCCTTATTTATCTTTTATGATTTGACCTGCAAAGGTCTTGTACTTATATTTCGTATATTGCTCTCTCCCATCTTGTCTTGTGAGATACTTTTGGGAGAAAAAAAAACTCTAGTATACCCACTTCAAGTTGTCTCCTTAGTTAACCATAGTCAGATTGGCTATTTAAGGTTGGCTCTATGTACCCATGGTTGAGAGTGATAATCAACATATTTTCTTTTTACGTTTACCTTGGTGTTACGGGATCAATAATGAGGATGCAACCTTGTATCATTTGCAGTGCCTGAATAAAAAATATGAATAAGTGTGATTGACTTTGAATTGGCATATATAATTGGAGAGAAGGGCCTATTTACAATTACGTTAACAACGGTTGTTGTTAAAACCTTTCCAACTGTTCTAATTTATTAATTTGTACAAAATTTACATGTAATTTTACTCATATTTCAAAAATATGAAAACTACAACCCCTTCCAACTTCAACTTAACTTCACCATTGATCATCTGCCAGTTTTTTATAATTGTAGAATGTGAGGTTGAAATCAACCACCATGCAAAAGTACTATACTTGGGGTGTTTATCAGTGTAAACTACAAAGTAGCTATAAAAACAAGTCCAACAAACCCAACTCGAGTTGTCTCCATCACCATGGTTAGATTGGGTATCTAAGACTAGCTAGGTACCATCTTGCCAAAAATGGCCAACATTATGGCATATTGTATTAGCTGTAAACACAAATTGCGATCAATAATGAAGTATCCAGCTAGTTGGGGCTTAGTAGTTCAATATTCGTACAAAGACTAGTAAAATATCTATCTATCTATCTATCTATCTATCTATCTATCTATCTATCTATCTATCTATCTATCTATCTATCTATCTATCTATCTATATGGGGGAAGTTTGGGCAAAAGGGAATGGTTGCTTTCATGTACACGTCGCAAACAAAATGCTTTCTTTCCATATTTACTTGAGAATTCCAGATGGAATCTAGAAAATATATGCATGTTCATCTTCGTCGGGACTTATCATCATGACATGAGGCATCTTTCTCATCTACTTTCCTAACACCAAATCTACTCGTTTACGAAAACATGCATGGTTACCATTGTATGGAAGATCGTATGCTTCCGAAACTCTCATCAGCGTCCGTGATGGAACCAGAAATTCGAATGAGAGAGGGCTAAAAATTTACGCACAGAGAATTCGAACTGGCGAGGGAGCTAACGCCTTATCAACTACTATATTTTGTTCCATAAAAAAAACTACTATATTTTGTCAATTTATTACAAAATTTACCTGTAATTTTACATAATTTTGAGAGTTGAGGGGGCTATAGCCTCCCCTGCCACTAAGGTAGCTCTGCCACTGATCAACGTCGTTCAATGAACTCTGTATATTCTATTCCAAAAAGAAGTGATCTAATTTTTAAGTGTAATAAAATGAAAATAATAACATGAGTCAATAAATAAAAATCACACTACTGTTAAGTAATAATTGTTGATGTTGGATGCAAGTTCTGTGAATGTGTTTAGTCAGTTGTAGACGTATTAAATAGTAATACTTATTGGGTCCAGGCGGTTCGAGAAGAGCGAGCAAGGCTTCTGTTCCAGATGATGGGTGTACTCCAAACTCCTGCAAAACAAGGGTCTTTGGGTGGTCGCCCAGGACACCCTCCGATGCTAAAGTTATAGATAGAATAAGAGTTGTGGTTTTTGTTTAGAGAGAGAGAGAGAGAGAGAGAGTAGTTGAGTTACCATCAATGCAGGTATCAATGTATTTATAGTTAGTTAGGTCAAGTATGAGGCATTAAATGCTGTGTCAGGCGCCCCAGGTATTCCTTGCTTTATCCGGACCGCCCGCCGTGGGCAATTAATGCTCAGTCCTGCAGTATTCGAGGTGTGTATCCTAGGAAGATCTACTTTTCCTGCCACCAATGGAGCTTTTCCTGCCACCAACGGTACTCGCGTTCACCCTCTTTTTAGTTCACGAGATGGTCCCACGCGGCTCGCTGTAATAATCCCTCTTGCTGTTGTTCATTCCTAGCCTCAGCAAACGCGATGATCGGTTGCGCTGTCCACCCCTCTTTTGACGTACACCACCAGTTATTCCTCTTTCTGACCGCACAGTGTGATTTCCTAGGGCTCGCACTGTCCTCCCTCTTTTAGCCCGCGAGTGGCCCTCCGCGGTTCGCCTGTATAACCTTACTTTGTCTTTTGCGTTTAAGCTGTGCGCCCCCTCGACTACTGTCCGCCCTATTGCGATTGACGCGGTTCGCTGCGGTTGCCTTTGCTGATTCAATTTTTGCAACCTTTCGCACCGCCTGCATGTCCTGCCGCGGGTCGGTTCTCGGGAGTTGGGCCCTGACATTAGGGGTGGGCATTGGTGCGGTCCAAACCGTTCCGCTCGCTCCAAATCGCTTGTGCGGTCAGCCCAAACCACACCGTTAAGATTGCGGTTTCATTATTAAGTGGTTCGTGGTTTTGCGGTACGAGCCGACCAAAACCGCGCGGTTGCGGTTCAAAACCGCAAACCGCTAAATCCCCTCAAATCACCGAATCTTCTTTCCTCGACTCCCTCCCTCTCTTTACCTTCGCCTCCATCCACCGCCGCTCAGCCTCCTTCTCCTCGGGCGATTGCGCGGTCTGCCTCTCCAAATTCGAGCCAAAGGACAAGCTCCGCCTCCTCCCTCTGTGCTGCCATGCCTTCCACTCCGCCTGCATCGACACCTGGCTCCTCTCCAACCAGACCTGCCCTCTCTGCCGCTCCCCGCTTCACGCCTCCGATTCCGACATCCTCAAGGCTCTCTCCTCCTCTTCCGTCTCCGGCAGCTTTCGCCTCAAGATCGGCTTCGTCAGTCGGTGCCAGGGGGACGACGTCGCCCACCAATACTTCAGCACTCCCCAGTCGGCGCATTCCTCGGTCTCTACTACGGCCGTCGTTGGCGATGGAGAAAGCAGTAGTATCAGTTTCGAAGATTTCCATTTCCCATCTGATCTGGTGCGTTTCATTCTCTGTTATAGTAAGGGATTCTAAGAGTGTCTAGCTTTTCTCGGATCTGGGTTCAATTTGCTACAATTCATGATCTGGGTCTGCTTATTTCTGTCATGGGAACATTAGGTTGTGGTTCAATTTCCGAATCCACCGGCAGGTCGAACTTTGCTGCCGCCGCGTCCTGATCAGCCTCCACCGAGAAGGCAAAGTCTGGCCGGTTGGCAGGCATGGCATTGCTGCCTATACGTGAATCCCCCATGATCAAAATAGTTACTCGCTAGCTTTAACTTGCGCTTAGTTTTGGGTTTCTGGATGATTCAATGTGAGTTGTAGTAATTGTTGTTGTGGTGGTGATGAGAAGTGGATGGACGGGGGAGTGTATTTATATTGGTTGGGGATTTGAGGCATTGACATTTTGAGATTAATAAATTGTTAGTGAAGGGGCAAATAAGATTCAATTGGGTGGGGGAAAATGTAAACCCAGAATAAGATTCAAGTAGTGTAGCTTAGCTTAGAGCTTTTCATTATTAAGATGTCTGCAATGTTGTTTAATAGCTTATTTATGTGATTCACCCTACATACAACCATATACCCAAATCATATGGCATAAGTTAGTCTCTGCTGGTCCGTTGATATTTATCAAGCTCTGCATTTTGGTAGAGCAAATTTTGTACGTTGAGCTTCTGAACCAAGGGTAAGAGACGATCCCAAATCATTTCTTCTCGTCGTTGGGGCGTTGCAGCAGCAAGATGGCTGCTCCAATCTTCTTCACTCAGATTAGAGTCTCTCCTGCTCTTTTCATCTGCTCTTTTGAATATGTACTTGAAACAAAGATGCTGACATCTTTGGCTTTTCATCTGATTAAAGTACCACCACCTAACCAACGCTGATAAAGTTCTGGAGCTGTGCTTTTGACTTTGTAATTGTTTTTACTGCTTCGATACTGTTTAGACTCTGTCCAACAAATTTGTTAGCCTTGCCATGAAGCCAAAACTCATTGATTATCAAGCTGAGAATCCATTTTTTTGCTTGTAGGGTTGTAATGAATCTGTGAAAAAGAAGATACTTTGTTAACACTATTATTCTTTGTGTGCTGTTGAGTTTTCTTCCCAAACGTGTTTTTGGTAGATATTATTTGATTTGCTTCCATGGCTACTGCATTTTGCTTTGTGATTCTCATCATTTTCCTCTACTGGGTTTGTAAGTTTGCTTTATGACTTATTCAACATGCTCACTGTGTTGCTGTGTCCTAAACTTGGATTAGTTTACTTTTCAATTTGTGCAGGTGCAGGGGGGTTATTTTTGCGGCCTGAGTTGAAGAGAAGAAGAAAAAGCTGCAGTCTTTTTTTGTTTTTTGGAACTAAGTTAAGTGAGAGAACTGAAGGTCCACTTTTGTTTTTTTTTGTTTTTTGTTTGTGGAGTGCATAAACCAAAGTAATTTTGTTGTCTACTGTTTGATGTTCTTGCATTAGCTTTTGTAGTTAAAAAGTACTTTTGGTACTTCTCTTACAGTCTCATATAATATTTACTGAGGTTTTGTTTACTAGCTGGTGATGGCGTGAAGAAGGTAACTAGGTAGGCAGTACTTGGAGCCATTAAATGTTTACTTGCAGGTGATGGATGGAGATGATGAATCAGAGTTTTTCTTCATTAGTTGCAGATATGGCTGAAGGGATGGGAATATCTGTAAGCTGGAATGGGCCACAGATGGAGAGGAAAGGAGAGGAAGAAGATGGTTGTGTTTTGGTTGTTTGTTTGCGTGTGTGGAGTTGAGCTGAAGGTCTTGTCTTGGCTGAGGTGGCAGATGGGCTCCATGGTTGTTTGGGTTTCTAGTGGGGATCATCTTAGAAGCAGTTGAAATTTACAGAAACTGATATTGGCCAGTACTTTTTTTTCCCTGGTAATGGCGTGAATTGTTGCTTACTAGCTGGTGATGGCGATGGCCTGTTCTTATAAATGCTGTGTTTTTGCGGTTTTATTTGCGGTTGCGGTCCAAACCGCACCAAGTCGCTAACTAATGCGGATCGGTTGGACCGTACCAATTAACTTGCGGTTTTATTTGCGGTGCGGTCCAATTACTTTGCGGTGCGATGCGGTTTTTATGAACACGGTGCGGTGCGGTGCGGGTCGTACCAATGCCCACCCCTACCTGACATGGGCAGCTCCACATCCAATCAGCTGCGCAAGATTTCGAATTTTCGAGACTAGGGTTTCTCGGTCATCCAACCGTCGCGTCGTTGCCCCCTCCCTTCTTCCTATTTATATCCGCTTCTCTTCACTTTCTCCATTCTTCTTCTTCTTCTTCTTCACCATCACTACTCTCTCCTATTCCTAGCCACAATTGCGCGCTGCTCTCGATTCTCCCTTTCCTCTTATCTGCGAAACAATTCTTCTTTGTCTCCAGCACGAGCAGATTTTCTTGCTAAACTTCGACGAGCCCAGAAGCGAGCAAAGAGAAAGAAGAAGCAAATGGAGATCGAGTCTCAAAGCACCACTCAATCTGACAGTCAGAACCGGAATCTCTCCAGTGACGTCGCCGCCGTTACGTCTTCCAGCGGCGGAGCCGCTGCCACTGCCTCCGGCGATGCTCGATCCTCCAGCGCCGATGGCAGCGCTCCCCATTCCTCAAAGTCGGGCGGTGGTTCAGGGGGACCGCCTTCTGGTGTCAAGCAGGCTGTGACAGGTATTTCAGTGCTCCTTCTCCTTGCTATCTTCATGCATCTTTAGGCTAGGCTTTCCAGAATTAGATTTCGTTGTGAGCGGTCCACGTAGCCAAAATACTTAGGCGGTCCTTAATGTGACCTTTTAGGAGTAGAACATGATCCGAGACTGCTGCGGGCATGTCTACCGGTCGGAGGGGAGCGTCTTCGACGGTTGGTGACAATCTGGGAGACTTCAGCTACTCGGAAGCAAAAAGTGAACCGCCGAACGTCGCACCCCTTGTCGCCCTCTCTTCGGACAGTGGGTCTGGTGACCGCCCAGAGGCAGATGAGAGGGAGCTGTCCCCATCCTTAGCAGTATCCGACGCCCTGCCGGTGGAGGCGTTTCAGGTTCTTAACGATACTACCTACCGTGTCAGATTACATGAAGACATGTGAGAAGGGGAGGCGGTTGCTCATAGCGCTTTCGAGCAGGGACCGCCCAAAGAGGCCGCATACAGTCCTCAACAGGTTCTCTGTCAGTTGAAGACACATGGCCTTCCTGTCGATTGGGACTACGCGGCTCCCTCCCCTGTTGGGCGGTCTGGGTCATGCCCGGGGGGTTGGATTCCTATACATGTGGAGCATATCCGGATGGGGTTGACTTTCCCGCTCGACCCCATTCTGACCCGAACACTCCTTGTCTCGAACTGTACGCTAGGCTTCCTATCGCCTGACGTTATATTTCATTCTATCGCCATCAGAGCCGCCTGCGAGAAAATCGGTGAGACGCCCTCTTTCGATGCGTTTCGTCTATTATACAAAATGAGGGGCTTGGACAACTGCTGGTCTTGCTATCGGCGAGAAACGCGGGTAGGCTTCGTACGCGGGGTGCCGAAATTAGACTTCCCCTGGTTCAAAGAGTACTTCTTTGCCCGTCCTAAGGGTAACTGGTATTCTGGGGAGGTTGAGCCACCGATAGGGTTTGCGGTTGGCGACAAGAAAGATTGGAATACTGACACTGACGGTCTTGAAACCTTCAAGCCGTTTCTAAAGCGGATTATGAGCGCCACTCAGATTTGTCTTCCTCCTAAGGGCGATGATAATGCCTTGGAGATTATCTGTCACTTTCACGGTTAGTTGCTTTCCCTTTGTGTTGGATGCCTCTCTCATGCCCTTTACTTATGCATTTATTCCACAGGTACGCACTGCTACACTTCCTCCGCTCGACCGCTGAAGCCATGAAGTAATGCTGCCCTTCCTACCAGTGTCGCTCGCCAAGCGGTTTCTATTGCTCAACCTGCTTCGCCTTCCCAGAAATAGTTGGTCGCCAGCCGCAAAGGAGTATTAAAGCTGTTAGAGCCGGCCCTCACGAGGAGCTCCTCTAAGCGTCCCCTGGACATAACAACCTCAAAGGATTTGAGGTTGACAGTTGACGAGCCCCGGTTGAAGGGGATCCTGCTTGAGAAGCCGGCCACTCCCATCGACTCATACATAGCGCCCAAAAAGCAGAAGAGGACTTCTATTGACACCTCCGTCTCTTTTTCCTCTCAAGCTTCCTTGTATCCTGTGGCCGCCAAGCGCGCTATGCATGTGATCGCCGAGGGGTTAGCGGTCCCCGACGACTATACTCACGTTGCGGGGACCACTGTCTCGGCGTCGGACACCAATAACCTAGCGGCTGCGACTTCTAGGTTCTTCTTCGCGGTATGCGTCTGTATCCTTATCCTTTTCTCTTTCACTTTGGATTTATATGCTGCTAACTCCTTATGTTCTTGCAGACCTAGTTTGGGTTGAACCAGATCATGCTACACAATGACCGCCTTCAGAGCGATCTAGACGACGCCAACATCTAAATCCTCAAGCTGGAGGATCAACTCAAAGAGGGTCGCGAAGGTGCGAAGGCGGCTGTGCGGGAGAAGGTCGTGAAGGAGCAAGAGCTGCTGGTGAAAGAGAAGGACGCTCAGATAGATTCAGGGAAGGATTCGCTGAGGAAAGCGGAGGAGGATGTCAAGTGCTTGCGCGGGGAACTGAACGACTCGATAGCCCAAGAGAGCGCCCTGCAGATTGAATTGGCCAAAGTCCGTACTGAAAAGTCCAAAATGAAGGTGGCTAGGGAGGTTGATATGCTAGCAGCCGCTGAGGAGGCGAGGATGGCATTCTGGACCTCGGACGAGTACAGGGTCGCCGACGATGCAAAGTATAAGAAGCTGCTCCGCGACACTGTGGCTGCCATCTGCCACTGGTTTCGTCGCGAGTATCCCGGGGTCGTGTGGGACACTAACTCGATATGGGACGCGGTCGAGCTCTGGGGTGACGATGATGTCAACTCCGAATACGTTTCCACTCCCGAGGCGCCCACCGACACTGCTGCTAGTACAGCCACTGCGACCGCAGAAGCTG